CGTTTCTCCTTCAACCTGCACTGCCCGTGGTGGCCCATCCTGTGTGCCATGTCGTGGCCGTCGATCCCCTCGATCAGCCCGCTCTCCACATTTAGCTGAGCCTTGCCTGTTGTGAGGGGGATAACCAATTAGTTCATAACATGTTTCCTTGACATGACCGAGCTTACCACAGTGTGTGCATCTCGTCATGGGCGGATTGGTCTTGTTGGGGACGCCCAGAATCTGCACGAGAATCACGCCCATGTTGCTCCTGGTGGTTGCGGCCACAATCTCCTCGCAAAGCAAACGCGGCTGCCTACACTCCGGGACGCCTTCGCTGAGCTATCAATTGCTGCTTTTCATCATTGGATATTATGTTAAAAGCCTCAGCAAGGGACGGAGGAAGCCTCATAGCCAATATTTGGCTTCTAATGGCGCTGAAACCCTCGTCCAACCCCATCAAGAAGTCAAGCAACCTAGTGCAATCCTCACGATCGCGCGTTCGACGTTCTAGGTCGCACTTGCATTGCCCGCATGTGCACCGCTCAGGTGGGTATATGGATTGGGCCTCTTCCCAGTAGCTCTTCAACTGTGTATAAAATGAAGATATGGTGAGCTTCTCCTGTCCCAACCCAGCAATGCGTCGGCGAAGTTCATATCCTCTTGCGAGAGTCCCCTGACCGAATCGCTCCTTCAAATCTAGCCAGATCTCTCTCGATGTCTTGGCTTATCGCACGCTGCTACGGACTTCTTTAATCATGGAAGTGCGTAGCCAGCCCTTCACGACCGCATCGCATCGACTCCAAGGCCCATTCTCGGGCTCATCTTTCGGCTTTGGAATCGATCCATCGACAAACTCGAACTTTTTTTTGAAAATGAGAGAGTCGGTCATATCGATGACCCATTCTCCATAATTGGTGGGGGTAAGGACTTCCCCAACATGAAGCTGTCCCGTACTATCTGGCGGGTGAAGGTAAAGTGCCGAGGAAGTATCCATGGCAAGTAACAGCGAACCCGACGGTCCGTCGTTGAATTGGACGAATTTCTTGCCGTCGCTGGTGGAGTTCTTCGTCTCTTTCGAATCACTCATGACAACACTTCAAAGACCAAACTCAGAGAAGCCCTCAGAACGGGAGCTCTGATACCATGATAAATAGTGAATACGTGAACAAAGTAAGCAAGACAAACACGATATTTACGTGGTATCCCCGAAGGATCGGGACTAGTCCACGAGAGAGAGAAGTCTCTCCAGCTACTGATCTTATTGATGTATTACTTGGTTAGCCAATCGGCTGTACAAGAGTATTTATACAATAAGTATTCGTAGCTAGGGTTCCATCACTACTCAAGGCCAAGGTAGGTGAAGGAGCAGTCATGGAGGAGGCTGACTGGCAGGCCGACTATTCCTCGACGTGGGCCGAGCCAGAAGTGGGATGGAGGCTCGATGACACGACCCGGCCTAATAGGTATCCTTCGTGAATATTACACTATCATCTACATAAAGAAGGTGGGTTATTGAGTGTGCACCTCTTTTCAACTTCATTCCCTCTTAGCATTCGAAATTAGTGCTTATAACCCTTCAACAATAATAATAATAATAATAATAATAATAATAATAATAATAAAACTGTATGGGGAGATTGATCCCCATTATGAGTTCCCTTTAGGAAATATAAGAATGATGATCATTGACATTAGTTGTGCAAGACACTGTTGAGACACAAAAACACCCACTGTTCTGCAAACTCCATTTTTTTCATAATTTCTTCCAGGAAGCATCATTCCACTTGATCATACACCTTGAAAATATTGAGTTTTGCTATCATATAAGTTTTCCCCCCTTTTGTCCATACTTTCATGGAATGGAAGCATTCGAAGGATACCATGATATTATATGTAATTATCCTTCACAGTATGAAAACGCTATCATTTTCAAAGATTACCTTGTCTAGGATTTTTTTAGCCTGTTTGTCAGCACCTTCGATAGTATCTTGTAGAGTACTTTGCACAAACCTATAAGTAATAAATCAACGGGTGCCTCCGGTGACCTTTTCTTTGGTATGAGTACAAATAAGGGTATGGTTCAGCTTCTGTGGAAACACACCTTTCTCAAGGTATATATCCCTGTAATTCTGCCGTTACATCCCTTCATATGATCTAATTTTTTTTGAAAAAATATAGCGGACATACCATCAACTCCAGGAGCCTTCGTACGTAGGGTCCATCTTCTTTAAAGTTTCGCTAATTTCCTGTCTTGTAAAGGGCTTCAATAGCATCCCATTCATCAATATTGATGTCACTAACTCTAGTATCTGCACTGCTTCTGGTACACTGCCCCATGATAATTTTGTTCCCGCCTTGTATAACTGCCTTAAGTATTGTACCACATATTGCTCAACCTCTCTAATTATTGCCTGCTTTCATCCTTTAATTGTCTTATTTTGTTTATCTTTCTTCACAATTCCCATCTCACCACAGTCAGCATACCCATAAATCACAGCGTTGCAAGAAATCACATCCCTCTGAGTCATTTCGCCGAACACTTTTGTTCGCATTGACCAAGTTCTATTCTATAGTAAATACTAGTTGGTGCCCGACCAATTGGCCGGGATACATTTTACGTGGTTTATATATTAAATAATTTAGTGACTTGCCTTACTAATTTAAATTGTCAATTATTGGTTAATTACAAAAAATTGTTAATACTAAAATAAGCACTCAACTATAATACAATATTTTATTATGTATCTCTTTTTATATTTTCCCGTTAATTTCTCTTCCCCCTTTAGTCTCTCCATGGTAAGCAATAGAAACAGCATTTTCGTTTTTTTTACTATTAAATAAATGAAAGAAAACAGATTGTTGTGTTGTGAGTTATCAAGTAGTTGTTGAGTGCCTGTAAAAAAAAGTAGTTGCTGAGTGCTGACGTGGTAAAAAAAAATTATTGACATAAAGTATATGATAATTTTCAATTGAATATCAAAAATTCCATAAAATATATAATTTTGTTGAATTTATCTCATCTAAATAAAAATAAAGATAATATGAAACTAAGAAATTCACTTAGAGCCCATAAAATATGTAGCTCAATATTCCAGCCCAATTAAGAGCTCAACCGAATGAATGTTCACATAAACACTTCTCTTTTCCTATGTGCAAAATAGCAATCCTTGGCGTTTAAGTTTAGGCAAGAGAAAGAAAGTAGAATTAACATCAGGGAGAAAAAGAAGCTTTGAGATTGCCGACAAAAATTGCAGTAGCTGAACCGCCGAGTTTGTCACAGAAAGGCAATATGGTGTTGTGCATAAAAAATCATTGTCAAGGGGTTCACCGATGTCGGGTCCGTTTTTCGATCGAATAAGATAGAGATGCTGCCACCGTAAATCGAAAGCGCAAAAAGAAGAAGGGAAACCCCAGGCGAAGAGAACGGGATGGTCGGACGCCGAACGGAGAGCAGAAGCAGTGAGAAATCCCGAAGAGTTCTACACCATTCTTCGGATTGATGAGACATGCAGTACTGAAATTGGATTTGAGGTATCTATTGGGTCCCTCTCTTAACTCTCTGTTGAATGGGGAAATTGGATTCATCAAGGATTAGCAGATATGGGTTGAAGATGGAGATGTAGGGGGAATGAGGTAAAATAAAAAAGTTGGGTCAGAATGATTTAGCGGTTGCGGAGGGGGCGCCGTGGACAACAGGGGAGTTTTGATGCTCTCTTATGTGGTTGCAATGGTGGTTCAGACGATCATGGTGAAGGGATTCCAAATCAGATTGCGTTGATCGTGTTCAAGAACTATGCTAGTGATGGTGCAGGTGGGGATTAACTTATTATGATGTGGCAGGACGGCGGATTCACCAACAAACCGGTGATAGATCCACGACAGATAAAGGGCTGGGACTGAACGTGGAGCCGCCGCCGGCGGAGGCAGGGGAAGTGGAAAGGTTTGAGCTTTGTAGAGTTTAAGGAGCGGAGCACTTCCGGTTTGTGGTTGCACCGTCGCAAGGGGACGGCTCAGCAGCCGCGGGGAAGAATCGAGGAGATGGGTTTGGGGATGGGAGCGTTGAAATTTGAAGAGAAAGACGGAGGAGGAGAAGGAATTCGAAAGGGTTAGAATGACGAAAAAGACCTTCCGCTGTGTGCGGGCTGTGGAGTAGTGGCTGACGTGTCAATATTTTTTCCATCACATTTCCTTATATTTATGTGTAGACTCTGTTTAATACACGTATATATATATATATCCGTACGTATTTTATCCGTTTAAAACTTTCGTATTTGTATTATTGTCAAGTCGTTTCATTTTTTTTCGTTTATTTGATCTCTCCCATACTAAATATGAATAAAACCCGCATTTTATGTTTAATATCCGTATTTAATGAATTAAATTGTTAATTTTTCTATTATTTATGGGTTATAGGTATAATATGCCTCTCTACTATGATGTTTTATCAAACATGCCCCTTTACTATTTTTTACATCAAACATGCCCCTGTACTTTGTAAAAATTATCAAACATGCACTTTTGTTAAAATTTTCATCCAAAAATAATTAATCAACGCCGAACTTTGGTTTGGACGACACACATGTCTAAAATATCTCTAATAATTTCACTTTAGAATTTTTTTGGTTCTTTTGTATAGCCAAATAATTCAAATATTTCACTTTGAAGAGACCCAGAGAAATAAAACGGGAGAAAAAACTGATATTTTTCCTCATACATGCCAATATCGGGTCGTCTAAATCTCGGTTCAACCATGATTGACGATTTTTTCAACGGAATTTTAGCATAAGGGCATGTTTGATAATTTTGTCAAAGTATAGGGGCATGTTTGATGTAAAAAATAGTAGAGGGGCACGTTTGATAAACCGTCATAGTAGATGAGCATATTATACTTATAACTCATTACTTATATATTTATATTATTTTTAAGAGAATATATATATATAACTATTAATGTACTATTAAACGTGACATTAGATTAAAGATGAAGTAAAATACACGTACGTATTTTATACGTAACATTCACGTGCGGTATGTTATTAACTATGCTAACACCTGACATACATGTGGATCAAACAGTTCGAGACAAAATTCGTCGCGGCATCGAGCATGGGCTTGTTAGCCCGGGTTCAGGTCTCTTTGAAGCGAGCATTCTTTGATAATTGTGGAAAAAGTTGTGAGCTTGTAGGTCGATTCTGTGGCTCGGTTTGAAGCTGTAGCAGTACTCGAGGAAGCACAAGATGGATATGATATTAGCCTGTACTCTTTGTAGATATAATGATTGGAACTAAATAGAAATTAACTTGTTCATCATGTCATTGATATTCATACACAATAACATCAATATATGATTTCACAATAATATTCATTGTCATAACTGCACAGCCATACGGCATCTACGTACATCAGGGCAGAATCGGAATTAGCTAGGTAAAACAGTGAAACAGCCGCCGGTTGGTGGCCCGTCGTCCTCCGGTGCCTCTTCCGAGTAGCTCCGCGTCGTCGGCAACGACCATGCTGGCCGAAGAACTGTAACGCTGGTGATGATCCTCCGACTCCAGGAAAGCTCCGGCCGAGACGTACCGCTGATGATGACCTGAACCGCTGCTGGCGCCGTTCTCCGATGTGGGTGGTCGCTCGCTGACTTGGGCGTCGTTGTCGGCGGAGAGGCATTGGTAGCGGCGGCGAGTGTTGTTCTTCTTGAGGGCTCGGTAAGCCATGGGAATGAGGCCGTCCATGGCGATCGAGTGGGGAAGCTGAACGAAAGAGAGATCGGGTGGCGATCGAGTTGAAGCAGATATTGAGATGTACGTGTCGGTGTTGCTTGCTTCGTGAGGGAAGTAATGAGGCAGTGAGTTAACTTACCTAAAGGGTCTGTATATAGTGTTACGATGATCATGAATCCATTACTATTCAGGAAACGGATTACGTTCACCGAAATGAATACGGAAAAGGGTCAATTAACTATTGTAAATATATAAAAAAATACCCTAATACTTGTAGGATAATGAATAGTGAAACCCAAACTAATAAGGATTAAAACTCTTGGATCTTGTAACTATAATTTACTACATTTTAATGAGGAATTTTACAATGCTATAGGTTTTTCACTTTATGATACAACTTGAAGTTGTACCGTTAACGTTATGGTACAACTTCATATTGTACCTATATTCTTTTGTCAAATTGTTTTATGGTACAACTTAGACTTATACTTTCATTTGATGGTGCAAGTTTAAGTTATAAAGTTGTACCATAACATAAGAGCACAAATTCCTTATGGTGCAACCTGAACTTATACATTTAACATTATGGTACAACTTTAAGTTGTACATTAAAGCACCAATACTTTATAGCATAGTAGAAATGCTCTTTTTTAACACTCTACTATAGAGAAAGTAAAGACTTAACACGTAAAATATGTTACAATCCCTGTACCTAGTACTTTTAAGAGCTTACAAACAAATCTCATTCGAAAGTTAATTATGACAATTTTAACCCTAATAATTGTAGTTTGTAAAGCTTATCGTTTTGTACCTGTTAAGGAAAATGATAAACGTATAAAACCGGTTTAGTTTCGGTAGTCGCCACCTCTAGTATCGAGTGAAGGCCTTGGAGTGGTGTCATCAACTCATATGTACCATAAGAAATGAAAATACTGTTATTCGAGTATGTAGCACTATTACCTTCTCGATATGTACGAGCTGGACGTACTACCCAATCTCGAGCAAGTTTCAACAATTAATCGTCCATTCTAATCAGGCGCCAATTCATATGATTATTTTAAGATCGTGCATTGAATATGCAGTTTGGACCATAATTTTTTGGTCAAGCCAACTCATCTAGAGGAGATGCATTTCGAAAGGGCCTTTCAGGATAGATAGATAGATAGATAGATGTGGATAAATCATTTTCTTCTCCAACAAACACTTACAACTAGGGATGTCAATCAAACCCATAATCGTGGGTACCCGTCCGCCCCCGATCCGACTAGTTACTGTGAGGAATCCCCGCTCTGACGGGTATGGGTAAAATCCACAAAACGTTTGATGGGTATGAGAATTGAGGAGGGTATGGTTTTACCCTCTCCCGCCCCATACCCGTACCCGCCCCATTAGGATAACTTCTTCACATATAAAAAATACATTGATTAAATTGTAACCTATCTATACAATACTAGTGAGGCTAACTCAAGAGTCAATAAAATATTTAGTAGAAATATAATTGGGTGGCTACCCAAATCAAAACTTAATTCTTTTTCCTCAACCCTCCATTCACTCTTTCATTGTTTCGATTGTTAACAAGATTATATTAGTTAGTTATTACTTAGTATATGTATTAGAGTAAGAGTATAATGATTTGGATAATATTGCATTCTATCTTATGGATTAATGGATGCTTTAAGATAAGATGCTTTGAATCGTGTTAAGAATGATTGTGTATTTGTCGCCTTCATGATATAGTATGTGCGTTTAGTGTTATAATTGAAAATTTATATATTAAATTTTAGGTGTTATCATGTTGAATGTATGGGGCGGGTATTATTACCCATGGATACCCGAAACGCACGGGTACGGGAATGAGTTTGGAAAACCCTATCCCGCATGGGTATGGGGCGGGTATGGATTTGAATATTTGAAAGCGGAGATGAGAATGGTTTAGGCATACCCGTCCCATTGTCACCCTACTTATGGTCATTCTCATCTCATTGGTCATAGTCACTTGTAACTTCTTTTTTGGAAGTCACATATTAACACTTTGACTTCATATTTTCGATCCAAAAAAGTTTATTATTTGTTTTGTTTGATTCTTAAGTCAATATGAAATCTCTACGGGGAAACTTACTTAAGCAATACCTTTATATTCTACTTTGCTTCGTGCTCAATGTATTTTTATACTCAATCCTTCTTTTACAATTTTGATCCATTTATATTTTGTCATTATTTTATTTCCTCTTATATGATTATTGCTTTTTACTATGTTTGGATTTTAAGCTAAAGGGGAAAAACAGATACCAAGTATAACAATATATACGACTTTAGCAAGTCAAATCACAAAAAAAAGAATGAAAAGATCTTTGTAGGCCTGACAATAAAATGGTTTTACTGTCACGATATGTGAAGCCCTATATTACCTTTTCGGAAGTAATTAAGCATAATTCGTGACTTAATTTCTATCCTTTGTAGGGAGAAACTCATGAATCCAACCATTGAAATTAAAAACAGAGTTGCTACAAAAATAACAAACAACATAGAGCCTCAAACAAAAGGATACACTTCACCAAAACCGTGCACACAAGACCCAAACAAAATATGGTAAAGTGTTTTCTGTTTGACCCTGGGTTTTGTTAAATTGTTTTCCGAGAACACTAACAGTTGATTCAAAAAGTGAAAAGAAAGAAACTTAAAGGAATACTAGCTTTTTACCCGGCCCCTTGGCCGGACGTAGTATCAGAAATTGGTAATCTAATTCTGACTATATTACCCATTAGCATGTCTGCGATGATGGACAGAGGTAGGTCAACAACACCATAATTATCTGATGGGAAGTTATTATCCCATTCCCGATAATGAACTATCAAAATGAAGTCATAAGCCCTAAATCTAGCCACACTACAAGCACCGTAATGCCTCTAGAGTGAACATGAAAAATTCAAAGGAATGCTTATCTGGCTCCAATTCCCGATGGTGAAAATGGAAGCCACCAAGAGATATCATAAAGAAACCCCAATTTAGATTGTCATTAGACCAAAAACCACAGTGACACCAAATGCGATGAATCCCTCGCTGAGAAAACCAAAACCAGCAATGTCCAAATCAAGTCGATGAAATAAACAGGCCAGTTTTTTTATGATAAATAGTTTTGTTAATTCAAATGACAGAAAAAGAAAAGAAATACAAAACATGCAATCTGCTGTAGAAATCTCAGATACAAACAAAAGAAAAAGGCGGGCCACATATTCCTAGTAACACCAACAAAGAACAACTTTTGTCAATACCCCTACCACTAAGAAGTCCTACCAAATTACTTCCAATCACTCTGCTACACTAAACACATAAATGACTTACAACTCTACACTTTCTATCTCTTCAATATGTATATCTCAATTGTCATGTAACCTCTCTATTATCACGATTTTTATACTTCTGGACAACAAACATGCTAATTGGTCCTTTCTTACTCCTTCACGGTAGCTACACGATGATTCGGGTCCAATTGTATACATTTTCCCCCTCATTTCTTGATAGTTTGACTTTGCATTTCATCGTTCCTCGACATATTTCACGCTAGGTTGTGCTTGTTTTGATACATTTAAGGTCCTAGCACGTGTGGAAGGGTCGAGGACGAGTTTCAGGATAATTGGAGGTCAAAAAGCGCAAAAAATCGAAGAAAAGTCCAACCCGTAACAGTGAAGCGCATGCGTCCAGGAAGTAGCCACAGTTCACGGCCTAGCATTGGAGTTCAAGGTCTCTAAGTTCATGAATTGGAACCACAAATCGTGAACATTGAGGCGTCCAACGAGGTTTCAGAAGTTACTAACGCCAAGGTAGTCCACGGTCTCTAAGACCGTGAACTTGGAGCACAAACCGTGAACCCAAGAGAGTGAAGTGGTATGTTTGGGAGATGACACTGAGTTCACAGACGCGTTTAGGTGTTCACTGCCATGAACTGGTCACATTCGTGCAAATATGAAGACAACAGCGGTGAGCTGGTTTTTTGAGAAGGAACACTTTCTTTCTCTAGGGTTTCAATCCAAAACACCAAAGGGGAGTTCTAGTGAGAGAGGGAGTGATCTTGGGGGTTAATTGGAGGCATTGATCAAGCTTGGAAGCTAGGAATCAAGCACGAAAGAAGATGATGAAGATCTAGAGGTTTCTTTGTAATCTCTCCTCTCTCTCTCTAGAAACTCACCCTCTTCTCTTGGGTTTAAGAACCCTAGGTCTATTTGTGGGTTTAATGTTGATGTATGTGACAAACTCCATGACTGATTGATGATTTTACTTAATTGATGGACGTTTCCATGAATGGCATGAGTTGGTTTTCCATTTTCATGTATTGAGCTTTTGACCTAGGAGGGAGATAATCCCCTTAGAGCCCCCCTTTTGGCGTCTTCGGGTCACTCCTATCGTATATTGTTTGTGTAGTCCTTGATTGAGTTGAGTCGACCGGTCTCCTAGCGTTATACGAAACCCTAGGTTGAGTAGAGCACTACCCATCCATCGATTTGTCATTTCAGGTCATTCCCGAAGGAGTCGATCTCCAAACGGTAGTGTATTTGAGTTGATCGAGCTAGGAGGATACCCAACATCGATCCAAAGAACGAACCTAGGATGATTCAACCCAAGAGAGATCCCAACCTTGCAAATAGCTAGGTTAGTGGTTAGTTGGGGTTAGTTAGTTTAGTTTTATTAATCACTATCCTAGGTTGGCTAGATAACGAACCCTAAACCTGAAGTAGGGTAAGCCAAGATCCCCGTGGTACAATAAATTCTAATTGCTTGCTTGCCCTATGCTACACCCGGTTGACAGTTATACTTGGCCTTCGATCGGGATGTTGTAGTTAGAATGAGTCACATGGCATTTTGCATCAGTACACATTAATCCATGTGACCACTCCTGCACTCCATTGCTGCAATTTATGGCTTGAGGTAATATCACTTCAGTCATAATACGAATTTACATGAAGTGAAAGAAATGATTAGTATAATAATATTTAGAGTACCAATGATGATTCCTCTCTTCTCCTTGTTGGCTTCGTCAATAAAATGAAATTGACGGCTATCTCTACCAACGTGTTCTATATGATTATAGTATGGTCTTTTGTATATACCGTTTCTACCTTGCCC